AAGTATTTAAATATTGTATGTATAATACATAACCTTACCACAAGTACTTAAATAGTGTATGTACAATACATAACCTTACCGTAAGTATTTAAATATTGTATGTATAATACATAACCTTACCACAAGTACTTAAATAGTGTATGTACAATACATAACCTTACCGTAAGTATTTAAATATTGTATGTATAATACATAACTTGACCGCAAGTACTTAAATATTGTATGTATAATACATAACCTTACCGTAAGTATTTAAATATTGTATGTACAATACATAACCTTACCGTAAGTATTTAAATATTGTATGTATAATACATAACCTTGCCGTAAGTATTTAAATATTGTCTCTATAATACATAACCTTACCGTAAGTATTTAAATATTGTGTGTACAATACATAACTTACCGTAAGTATTTAAATATTGTGTGATAATACATAACCTTACCGTAAGTATTTAAATATTGTGTGTATAATACATAACCTTACCGTAAGTATTTAAATATTGTATGTATAATACATAACCTTACCGTAAGTATTTAAATATTGTGTGTATAATACATAACCTTACCGTAAGTATTTAAATATTGTGTGTACAATACATAACCTTACCGTAAGTATTTAAATATTGTGGGTTATGTATTATACATACAATATTTAAATACTTACGGTAAGGTTATGTATTATACACACAATATTTAAATACTTACGGTAAGGTTATGTATTATACATTACCGTGAGTATTTAAATATTGTGTGTACAATACATAACCTTACCGTAAGTATTTAAATAATATTCTATCTGGAAAGTGCACGAGTACGCTAACCACCATAATATAGATTAATAAGTTAATGTTTTTTATCATTTTCGTTAAGTACGATGAAAATATGATTTCAACCTTTGATTTTCTATTCAAAGGACAAGAAAAACGCAGTACAAAAAATGTCTTCGTAAATATAATTCATGCATTGGCGAGTTTATAAAAGGCCTTCTAATCTAAAGGTATATGAGTTGTCTAAACAAATTCTGAATTGCAGTTTCAACACAGTCAAGGGGAACAATTCAGTCAACAAGAAGGTATGATAATTTCCACACTCATTGTCCATGATAATAGGTAGGGTTAAAAATCTAGATATAAAGTATACTACAAAATTAAACACACACACACACCCTAACATGTCCCCACCCACAGGGCACAGTGGGACGTCTGCGGACTTACTATGCTAGCAACCGGGTTTCGATAACCATGGTGGGCAGATCACAGATAGCTAGCTTATCACTGTGTAGATTTGGGCTTTGGGCAGAACGCAGATAGCTAGCTCATCACTGTGTAGATTTAGGCTTTGGGCAGAACACAGATAGCTAGCTCGTTGTGTAGATTTGGGCTTTGGGCAGAACACAGATAGCTAGCTCATTG